GGGGGGGGAGGGCAGTGTTCTGGGCCAAGGGAACTTGATATTGTGTAAATGGTTCAGGACGTTACCTAAAATATCAATTACCTAAGAATGCTTGCTGAATGTTTGTAATATCAGCATGTGTGTGGAACTTATTGGTTCACAATTCAATTAAAGAAAAGCTGGAACGAACAAAGTGCATTGAAAATTGGAAAACAAAACGTGTTAATGTAAATAGTATTTTATTGTTCCACCAATATTCAAAGTAACAAATCCAAAGGCATCATGGTTTGTATTCTGGAATATATCACATTTTTACGAAAACATGTAGCATAGACGTAATATTATCACATTTTCTAACATCCGTGTGCTTATCCATACAGGAAAGGATGACAGCAGGTATTGCATATTAACGTTTGACTGTGGTCGATAGGAATGTGACTACAGCCGATAACATAATGTGACAGTCAATACCACGTGACTCTAAACGCTAGTAATGTGGAAGTAGTCGATACCTATGTGACTAGACTATTGTCGATATTAATATGAATGTACTCGAAAGTAAAGTGATCAGTTATTACTAAAACGTAATTTGACTACAGTCGATACAAAAAAAATAAAGTTATTGAAGTCGATATTTAAAAGAAATAATCGATATTAAAGTTAATCTACTCGATCTTAAATCGCAGTAGTAAAGTGATTTCACTTGACAGCAAATAGCAATTTGACTATAATCGATAGTAAAGTGACCTTCCTCGAAAGTAAATAGCAATTCGACTAGAATCGAGAGTATAGCGATTTTACTCGATATTTATTAGAAATTTGACGATTAGCATCGTTTGTAAAGTGACTTTACTCGATAATAGAAAACTACCTATAATAGGTAGTAAAGTGACTAACTCGATATAGAAAACTACCTATAATAGGTAGTAAAGTGATTAACTCGATAATAGAAAACTACCTATAATAGGTAGTAAAGTGACTAAATCGATAATAGAAAACTACCTATAATAGGAAGTAAAGTGACTAACTCGCAGCAAATACCAATTGGACTACTCGATAATAGAAAACTACCTATAATAGGTAGTAAAGTGCCTAACTCGATAATAGAAAACTACCTATAATAGGAAGTAAAGTGACTATCTCGATAATAGAAAACTACCTATAATAGGTAGTGAAGTGACTATCTCGATAATAGAAAACTACCTATAATAGGTAGTAAAGTGACTATCTCGATAATAGAAAACTACCTATAATAGGTAGTGAAGTGACTATCTCGATAATAGAAAACTACCTATAATAGGTAGTGAAGTGACTATCTCGATAATAGAAAACTACCTATAATAGGTAGTAAAGCGACTAACCCGATAATAGAAAACTACCTATAATAGGTAGTAAAGTGACTATCTCGATAATAGAAAACTACCTATAATAGGTAGTGAAGTGACTAACTCGATAATACAAAACTACCTATAATAGGAAGTAAAGTGACTATCTCGATAATAGAAAACTACCTATAATAGGTAGTGAAGTGACTATCTCGATAATAGAAAACTACCTATAATAGGTAGTAAAGCGACTAACCCGATAATAGAAAACTACCTATAATAGGTAGTAAAGTGACTAACTCGATATAGAAAACTACCTATAATAGGTAGTAAAGTGACTAACTCGCAGCAAATACCAATTGGACTACTCGATAATAGAAAACTACCTATAATAGGTAGTGAAGTGACTAACTCGATAATACAAAACTACCTATAATAGGTAGTAAAGTGACTAACCCGATAATAGAAAACTACCTATAATAGGTAGTAAAGTGACTAACCCGATAATAGAAAACTACCTATAATAGGTAGTAAAGTGCCTAACTCGATAATAGAAAACTACCTATAATAGGTAGTGAAGTGACTAACTCGATAATACAAAACTACCTATAATAGGAAGTAAAGTGACTATCGCGATAATAGAAAACTACCTATAATAGGTAGTAAAGTGCCTAACTCGATAATAGAAAACTACCTATAATAGGAAGTAAAGTGACTAACTCGCAGCAAATACCAATTGGACTACTCGATAATAGAAAACTACCTATAATAGGTAGTGAAGTGACTAACTCGATAATACAAAACTACCTATAATAGGTAGTAAAGTGACTAACCCGATAATAGAAAACTACCTATAATAGGAAGTAAAGTGACTATCGCGATAATAGAAAACTACCTATAATAGGTAGTAAAGTGACTAACTCGATATAGAAAACTACCTATAATAGGTAGTAAAGTGACTAACCCGATAATAGAAAACTACCTATAATAGGAAGTAAAGTGACTATCGCGATAATAGAAAACTACCTATAATAGGTAGTAAAGTGACTAACTCGCAGCAAATACCAATTGGACTAAATTCGATAGTAATTAGCAATTTGATTATAATCGATTGTAGTTAAGTTTAAACATATTTTTATTGTCGTAAATAGGGACAATTAGGATTGAGCACAAGTTTTGCCAACTTAGTAACGCCCTCTCCTTAATACATCATGTTGTAAAATACATAATGGACAGCAGTGAATTAACGTTATCCGATCATATAGTAGAAACAGTGAGAAAAGGAAAGCAGGAAGAAGGGTAAAAGATAGGTAGGATCATCCCCTAAATATAAAAATAATATACAAACACATGTAAATGTTTAAAACAATACTTGATTAACAGTAATCTGGCTGGCTGGAAAAACATCAATCATCACTTTCATTCACTGTGTCCATCACATTCCATAAAGCTGTATTCTGTAGATCCACTCGTAACCGTTCCGTGTTCTCAAAGCCCTTCCTCCATACCAGCCAGATAAAGATCCACAATTATTCAAAATAATGTAAACATATTAACTTTGATTTTTATATTATATGTATTTCACAAAGTATAAAGGATAGTAGAAACGAATAAATTGGGGGGGGNGGGAGGAGTGCTCGGTAAGTCTAATGACATATCTCCTCGGTACCATGCTAAATTCTGCAATAAGGAAAGGCATAGGATGTGGTATTTAGGGCATGTGAAGAAGAAGTGATACGAGTCCTCGCACGTGTGTTCATATTCAAATTGTGCTGAAAAAGTATGATTAGCTCTACAAAGATCATAATTGGGAGTACTTGCTCTGTTCCTAATCTACAATGAAAACTGTTAAGCCTACGCGGACCAAAATTGAGACAGCATGGATTACATTTAGTTATCACACTATTCAACTTATGTATAGTTGATTTGAACGAGTTCAGAGTTTGAGAGTGCCTTACGGTTGTATCGAAATTATTCCAAAGATCAACAGTTGAAGGAAAGATAAGAGTTGCGCATAGTTTTGTGTCTATATAGTTGCTGCCGTAATTGCTGAGAATTTCTTAGTTTATAATGAGTCAGATCTCCAATATTTTGAGCATAGGTATGAGGGTGCAGTGTCATGTTTAATAGTATAAAGGAGCGACAGTTTTCCTATTTCTCTTCGTTTTGAAAATGGTAGCCACCAAATTTCTGCATATAACAATTCGTTTTTTGTGTACATTGGTAATCATGTGACAATTTATCTAAGTTATCCCTATTGAGTATTTCAATTTGCGAAGTGTTGCTGTGTATTTTGATACTTTCATCTATATGTTTGGACCACTTGGCATCACTACTTAGTAATACACCTAGGTGCTTATGCTGATCGGTTATTTCAATAGGGACGTTATTGAACGTAAACCGGGGTTGATAGGGTAGATTTAAAAGGGATACTAACATAATTTCCGTCTTCTTAGGATTGAACAACATTAGCCAATCTTTTGACCATTTTTCTAATGGTTTGTAAGTCATTGTTTACCACATGTACAATATCATCGAGAGTTTGTGAAGAGTATGATAATGACGTGATTTCGGCGAAGAGACGAGACAATGATGTGAGTTCAGTAAATATATCATTTATATAAACGAGGAAAAAGAGAGGCCATAGAACAGATCTTTCAAGGACGAGCTAGAACTATTAATATAGACAGACTGTTTTCTGCATGACAAATAATAAGTTATCCAATTAAGTATATTTCCTGACAGTCCATGTTTATGCCAAACTCTATCGAAGGCTTTAGAAAAGTCACAGAAAATAAAGGCTACATTCATGTTCAGGATTTTCTAAGGATAAAAGCATAGAGTGGTAGAGTTCTATAAGTTGATTGTAAAGCAACTTTACTCGATCTTAAATAGCAATTTGACAATAATCCAAAGTAAAGTAACTTTACTCGATATTTAATAGCAAATTGACTATAATCGATGTTAATGTGATCAAACTTGGTATGGATTAGCAACACAAACATAGTCGATGATAAAGTGACAACAGTAGATAGTAATGTGACTGCACACACGAGTACATGTAGCAACGGTATATGGCAGGTGAGATGGCATTGCACTATATAGAATATCGAGGTATCCAATTATTGCAATAGTGGAAAATTAATAAGATTCATTTTAAAACATACACAACGATACGTTTATAAATAACTACGGTCAACATGACGTACAAACATACATATAGCGATACATGTATAACTAACTACGGTCACCATGACGTTCAAACATACATATAGCGATACATTTTCTACCTATTCGTGCTCACCAAGACATAGAAAACATACACATATAAATATAATCGGGTTCATCCTGAATTACGTAGCTTATAAATAATTGCACTCATCATTTATATATTTTTTTTTATACCTTATGTATATCTAATCTGCGTGCATTTCTAGTGAAGTGCAATCCTGGAATACCAATGTTGATCACACCGCTACCGCGTACTAGTATTAAAACATACCCTTACAACACCACATACTATTTTGTATACAAATCTTATTTGCATCAGAATACTATCACTCGTGTTTACACTACCATGGCAAGTAGATTTTATTCATGCAGTTAGTGTTATAAAATTTAACCGTTCACAATTCTGTTTGGTTCTTGATTTTTGTTTTGTTTTACGGAGGAATCACATGTATCAACCATAATAACTTCACTCTTATTTTATATAGCGACTATGTACCTTGATTAATAAATTTAATTACTTTGCTTCAGAGATTTACGTACGAGTAACGTATGTAGCGCCTAAGGGTATTTTTTCAAATTATATGGGGCGCTATACAAACGTTGACTGTTATTATTAAAACCAATGTTCCTTAACGTTCCATTAGTAAAAGTATTTTACTTGTAAAGCTAACTTAAGCCTTACTTAATATCTGGAATGATTACTAACAGAAAACAAACAAATACCACACATACTAGATTTTGGTGCGTATTATCAAGTGATATGCAAATAATTGTAATAAACAATAATCTTAGGAAATAACTTAGAGCATCCTATGTCCCAACCTCACCACGCGGGTACACAAATCATACAATGTAAGCTTTGACGAGAAGGACTACTACGGCTGTATTAAATCTGTGATTTGACGCGGAAATCATTTTTGTTATTAATACTGGCATATCAACAGCCCGTCATTCATATTTAAAATAAAATCGTGACTTATAAAGGAGAGCAACCTAAAACGGTTGATGATACAATATATGTAAACTACTGAAGTGCACTTGCCGGTAATACGCTTAACGTAGACATTTTAACCCTTGTCTTTTGCAGTTTGAACATTTACTTTCCGGTAAAACGCTTAAAGTAGACATGTGAACCTCGTGTTTTTATATAATTTGAATATTTACTTTCCAGTTATTCGCTTAACGTAGACATTTTAACCCGTGTTTTTATACAATTTGAAAATAACTCGAGTTAGATAAGCATGACAACCAACCATCACTCGGACGGGAAATCTTCATTTCTGTATTTGCGACATCATTCTTTTTAGATCTGTATGCCCTTTAAATAAAGTTTTAACTTAAAGTTTCTGTTAATTTATTTTATTTTGATGTTCTTATTTGTAAATGCGTTTATGGTAAGTTTAGGCCATGTCACTCAGGTGTCATTCATCGTGACCTTTTGTTGTACATGAACGTAGTTCTGCATGAGGATATGAATAAAGTGATCGGTATGGAAAAAACATGTCTTCTTTGCGGGCTTTTTTCAGTTCCGCTAATTATTTACACGATGCTGTAACTTCTTGTTTAAAATAGGATACAAAACATTTCAGCAACGATTTAGGCATATTTCTGTATCACTTTTATCCACAAAATGATTATAAAATAACATCTGAATGTATAAAATACAAATATAATAAATGTATATGAACAATTCCACGTAAGCATAACATGGACAATCCTGTACTCAATATTTATATAAAATAAAATATTAATTAATAAAATATGATCGACGTAGGGTATGATGGAAAATAGTCCCGACATTAATCTGGTTTCATCGAAATGTTTAAGTAAATACATTTGCATAACAAATAATGGTATCCTATGACATCACTATATATCACATGACATACGAATGTTATAATAAGCTGCACATGTAGTTGCATTTCTCATCGATCCGCCGTCCCAGCATTGACTGACCGTTCGAATATGGGTCGGCCGTCCCAGCATTAGTCGACTGTTCTAATATGGGTCGGCCGTCCCAGCATTGATCGACTGCTCTAATATGGGTCAGCCGTCCCAGCATTGAACGACCGTTCGAATATGGGTCGGCCGTCTCAGCATTGATCGACAGTTCTAATATGAGTCGGCCGTCCCAGCATTGATCGACTGTTCTAATATGGGTCGACCGTCCCAGCATTGATCGACCGTTCTAATATGGGTCGGTCGTCCCAGCATTGACCGACCGTTCTAATATGGGTCAGCCGTCCCAGCATTGATCGACCGTTCTAATATGAGTCGGCCGTCCCAGCATTGATCGACAGTTCTAATATTGGTCGACCGTCCCAGCATTGATCGACCGTTCTAATATGGGTCGGCCGTCCCAGCATTGACCGACCGTTCTAATATGAGTCGGCCGTCCCAGCATTGATCGACAGTTCTAATATTGGTCGACCGCCCCAGCATTGATCGACCGTTCTAATATGGGTCGGCCGTGCCAGCATTGATCGACCGTTCTAATATGGGGCGACCGTCCCAGCATTGATCGACCGTTCTAATATGGGTCGACCGTCCCAGCATTGATCGACCGTTCAATATAGGTCGACCGTCCCAGCATTTATCGATCGTTCAATATAGGTCGGCCGTCCCAGCATTGGTCGACTTTTCTTATATGGATATGGGTCGGCCGTCCCAGCATTGATCGACTTTTCTTATATAGATATGGGTCGGCCTTCCCAGCATTGGTCCAATGATCAGAGGCCGTCATATCATCGACCGTTCTCTCCTCAATGGCACGAGTCATCTTATCATCGATGACTTATTCCATCATTAAAGAGGCGTTCTATTACTAGTGTGCACCATTTTCATTAGTCGACTGTTTATCATTGGTCGGCAGGCATGCTGTTAGTCGGCCATCCTACTATTTTTTGACCTCCCAAGGCTATCATATTACAAGTCAATCGTTTTTTCCTTGGTCGGTCGTTTTGCCATTCGTCGGCCTTTCAAGCAGGCGTCGTTGTCTCGCTTCGAACTGGAATGCACTAGAGTCATCAGCGTCACTTGTGGTGGTTTTTCGTTCATTCATCGCCCGTCTGCGTCTGTATTCAATATGAGAGTAGGGCACATCGTTTTTGACGTCACGGTAGATGTAGAACTTCCAGATTGTTAGTAGAATTAAGGCAAACAGTCCTAGAAGCCACATGTAAGCGATGTTACGAGGAATAGGCTTTGTGACAGTCTCCCACTCAAACTTAAAGGCCATAAGTACTTCGGTAATGGATATTACAGTGATCAACCAAAACTGTCTCCCCATCTTCTTACACGTCCTGAACACAATAAAAATGGTTACTCATTTCTCGTTCAATAAACAGATATTTGTGAACATTTTAAATTTGCCTAGGCACTTGATGTTTATCTGCAACGTTTTGTAGGTCCGGAGTTTTATCACTTCTTTCACAAAACATATATATGTCTTTGTTACAGAGAGATAAATACAAATTGTACGATGAAGATAACAATATATACAGGGCATTATTATTTTTATGTACGTCATCGTTTTTACATCGTTATTGAGTTATATCTTTATTTCGGGTTTGTGATATTTTAGGATAACATTACCCATTGTGTTGTATGAACAATATGAAAGGTGTTGGTCTATCAGACATTGTACTTACGGGTCGTCTAGGTACTGGAATGCCTCCCTGGCGGACGGAGCAGCCATGAAGAGCACCAACACGATCCTACTGACGTTGAGGTAGTGTGAAGGCGGAATCCACAGCACATACTTGACGTAAAAATCGTTCACTTCCACCATCAGGAACTGTATGTAAAATATGTAATATTTGAAATAATCCAGATGTTAGTTATGGATAAGTTATAGATATTTACCATTAAGACAAAAAAGGAATCGCCACTAAGGAAGGAGTTATATTCAACAGATTTTACGTTTGAACATTAACCACTTCTTACTTTAAAACAATAAAACCTATACTGACCAGTCCGATGAGGACTACTACAGCTAACCATCGCCGAAGACTGGATAGAGGCTGCCAGTCAAATTCTGTCCAGCTGTAGGGTGTGAACTGCATGGCTAACCGCTTGATCTTACCCCTGGATTATTTAAAGGTAATGTATTATGAAATAGTATACGTTATCTCCACTTTAAGTGTTTATTAAAAAGAACAACAATGTTGAATTATCTTCATGTACACTTTGAACTGGCTTTCCTTGGATACAGGACGTTGTTTAATACCTTTTTGAAATGAGATAGTTTCCAAGACTCTTAGATTGTTTTGCATACTGGTACGTTTTGTTCCAGTCTCGCAGATTTGGAAAGTGTACAGGTATTGCTGTACATTTTTCACTTCTACAGTTCTGCATGTGATTTTTACAAGTATTTACCGGTAAGTTGGGATATTCCACATGCCTCGCCAGTGGTATGGTTTCATGTTTAAGTATTTAACGGTCTTCATCCCAACATATATCCCTAGTCCGTTACTCAGCAGCACGTCCATTATCCACTGTAAAAAGGACACACCTCGTTACGCAATTGATAATACTCACGGTAACTATGAACAGAGGTTAATGTCAATTCATATAACCATGAACAGATGTTAATGTCAATTCATAAAACCATGAACAGATGTTAATGTCAATTCATAAAACCATGAACATATGTTAATGTCAATTCATATAACCATGAACATGTTTATGTCAATTCATATAACCATGAACATGTTTATGATAAATAATATAGCAATGAACAAAGATGTATGTAAATCACAACAACAATAAACAAAGTTTTATGTTAATTACTATAACAATAAATATAGAATTATGATTATTACAATAACCAGGAACATAGGTTAATGTTGCTGCTGCCCTACACGCCACTGGGCGTACAGGGCAGTAAGTAAGTAAGTAGGTTAATGTTAATTATAATAAACCTGAACCGAGGTTTATGTTAAATAGTATAACAATAAACAGAGGTTAATCTTAATTTCTATAACCATAATCACAGGATTATGATAATTACAATAACTATGAACATATATTAATGACAAATACTATAGCACTGAACATAGGTTTATGTTAATTACTATAACCATGAACACATGTTTAAGTTAATTACTATAACCATGAACACATGTTTATGGTAATTACTATAACCATGAACACATGTTTATGGTAATTACTATAACCATGAACACATGTTTATGTTAATTACTATAACAATGAACATAGGTTTATGTTTATTACTATAATCATGAACACATGTTTATGTTAATTACTATAACCATGAACATATGTTTATGTTTATTACTATAACCATGAACACAGGTTTATGTTAATTACTATAACCATGAACACATGTTTATGTTAATTACTATAACCATGAACACATGTTTATGTTAATTACTATAACCATGAACATAGGTTTATGTTAACTACTATAACCATGAACACATGTTTATGTTAATTACTATAACCATGAACATAGGTTTATGTTTATTACGTGAACTGCGTATACAAATTTGAGGTTTATTTTAAAATTCCTAATTAACTTCTTAAGGGAGTACTTATTAACCCTCCATGGAGTTTGTCGTTAACTTCAGAAATGTGGTAAACTCTATCAGGGAGTACGTGTGTTATTTGAATTATATAACTGTGTATGTCTGTACATTATATAACTGTGTATGCCCGTACATTATATAACTATGTATGCCCGTACATTTTATAACTATGTATGCCTGTACATTATATAACTGTGTATGCCCGTACATTATATAACTATGTATGCCCGTACATTTTGTAACTATGTATGCCTGTACATTTTATAACTATGTATGCCTGTACATTATATAACTGTATGCCCGTACATTATATAACTGTGTATGCCCGTACATTATATAACTGTGTATGCCCGTACATTATATAACTATGTATGCCTGAAGAGTATACTTACGTGATCCCACCAACACTCGCAGAAGTTAGGGAGCTGGTGTTCGAGGGTGTACTCCAGTACCTCAAACATAACGCTCAAAACAGTACAGATCCACCAGTCTCGCAGAAACAGCGACTAAAATAGAGTTATCTACCTTTAATAAAGAACAAATCACCATAAATACTTCTACTTGTCCTAAAATTTCGTTCCCTGTCGTTTTTTCTCTTTTTATCATTTAGAATTACGATATAGCTTTTCTTCCGTTAGAATGTATTTTAATATTTCTATATTATCTTAACTTGATTTTTCCCCATTAAAATGTACATGACAAAGGTATCGTTTACTATTGCCTTTTTTGTACTGTTCAATACTGACTTACCTTTGCCCACCAGCCAAGAAAGTGCGATATCACAAACAAGTCGGCTTTATCCTAAAAATACAAGAACAATAGAAAGTATTTCTTCATGCAGTAAAATGGGATAAAATAACAGCATCAAAAACCAAATAAAAAACCCAAACAGTTGGCCGTAGCATCGTAGTGGGATATTTTATTGCATAGTTTACACGAAATAGTTATTAAAGTATCAATGTTGCAGCCAAAAGATGAACATTTATAAAGTTATAATCGGTTCTTATAGGCCCTTTTCCCTTTCTGTGCCTTCTGCATATCATTCGGAACATTTTACGAATGAATTATTGAAGTGTTCTAAACAGCCGACATGGCCATAAGGTGCAGTAAAATGTTTTAAACGATATTTGAAAATAGGTTCTTTCCGTTTTCGATTTTTTAGTGATTATTTTATCGCCGTGATCTTACCTTGAGATTATGGAAAGGGTCAGGATTATCAGAGTCGTATATGTAACAGTTGCCTCCGTAATTTTTCTCTGGTAGAGGCTTGCCAAGGCTGGGGTCGATATGTCGCAGCAGGTTTCTAGCGTCTTGTGGAGTCTGAAAAGGTATTGTTATTTGTGTAGGAATTTCTAGCATCACTTACATAATATATTTATCTTAATCATTTCTAGGATTTTTTGTCAATTAATGGTGTGTTTTCGGATAGAAAGTATGATAATTTGACTGTATACATGTAATCCTGACGAGTGTCAACCAAAACACAGCGTTAAAATTAGAAATCAAAAAATATTTAATATCACTTCTTTTTTATCGTATTTCTAGTGGTTTTTAGCAAACATATTCTGTCTATTGCCTTTATTACTCAAACATCACATATTCTTATACTCTAGATTATACTATAATTATAACATTATTTGTAATGAAAATACATCATTTAGACCTCTCTGTATAACCATACAATAGTATGACAGTGTAAACATATGATCTGGATCATCCTTTCATCTTATAAAGATATAGAGTATGTATCTCCCACGATCTCTATATAATGTATTACTATTAGAGGAGGTAGACCATAGAATACCGCTTAAACTGTTACATAACTTGTATACCAGGATATAGTAACGACTAGGTTACTTTTCAACAAGATGGGATATGCAACCAATTATAATACCTCTGTTCAAGTAGGACATCATACATATGTGAAACACGTTTAAAGTATTTAGTTAATTCAGCAAATAATCATTTCAAAGATATTCTCATATTTGTATTAATGTAATGGACATTTTCTTCCTCGCATGATGAATTTCGAAAAAACAGGAACTATCGTTCCGTATCATGGCGTGTACACTAGCATACAAGCGAAACACCGATACGCAAAACCAATAAAAGTTGTCTTCGGACTAATAGTAAAATTTACGGACATACTTGGATGCCTGCCTATCTAGGGTGGACCCACGTGAGAGTTTATAACGGAGACTGACCTGGAATAGGAGGTACACCAAAGCTAACTCGTAGACAATGCTCACACACAGGACCAAACGCCACATCGCTGAAACGATAAAGAGAAACCATTACTTCGCGCACAGGTAGTACTAGTTTGTTGAACAACTAGTGTCTGGATAGTAGGTACATAACAAGAGGCCCAAGGGCCTTAGCGGTGACCTGAGTTATATCATAGGTACTGGTAGCTTTATTTTATTGTTTAGATGTGATGTGGAAATCAGCATGTAAATTAAGTGAAATACAATACTTGTCATGTCATCTTTACCCGCTCCCCAAGGGAGAACGGATAGCTCAGGGGTCCTGAAATTTACAATTTAAGTAAAGCCCCTGATGATCTTTCTTTCCACGTAGAGAAAATGACTGTAGTACCTCTGAGTCTGAAGAAGAAGACTTTTGAAATATTGGTTAATTTTCCCTTTGGGGCCCCGCCCTGGCCCCAGGGGTTGGGGTAGGAATCTCAATTTTACAATTTAAAACCATCTTCCTCCAAGGATAATTTTCACCAAGTAAAAATAATTTCCTACAGAAAGTTGTCAAAATATACCCAAAAGTGTTATTTCCCTATATAAACTATAGTAAACTTTACCCCCTCCCCAAGGGAGAACGGATAGCTCGGGGGTCCTGAAATTTACAATTTAAGTAAAGCCCCTGATGATCTTTCTTTCCAC